CATGAAAGCTGTAAGGATGACTTTGTCATCGTTTTCTGCTGTCTGCAAGGCTTCAGTGTTGAAGCAGGTAACAAAACTGCGCAGCAACTCCCCCTCGGTCTGACGGATGTTGAGGAGTTCGGTTGCCGGACGTCACTGGCGCTGAGCTCTAATAAAATAGCCGAGGAAGGAGTCACTGAGGTGTTGGAAGGCGGAGACAGAGTCCGCCGACAGCTGACTAAACCAAATTCGAGCTGACCCCTTGAGTGTCACGGGGAAAGCCCGACACATAATTTCGTCAGGGAATGCATGGAGGATCATAAGGGTTCTGTAGGTCTCCAAGTGGTCGACTGGGTTCGTCGTACCGTTAAAAGAGTCGATGATGGGCATTTTGAACTTGGGAGGTAGAGGTTTGTCCCTAATGGAAGCAACAAATGGGGAGTTGGCTGTGGTAGATGGTTTATGCTGTATGTTCTGCATGACCCCTTGGACCTAGAGCTTCATGGCTCAGAGTTCTGTGTCCCAGAGAGAGATGTTGTCACCATTGGAGTGCAGTGGGGGCTGGACGCTATTGGCCTCTCCTTCAGGGGTCGGTGCTAGGATCGATGGCTGTAGGCCCCGAGGTGGCAGGTTTATACCTGGGGGATGGGGTTGTAAACCTTCCAAGTTGGGTGGATTAGGCTGCAGGATAGTGTGGCTTGGGGTTCATTCTTGGTTGGGGGGAATGTCTGGAGGTGGTGGAGGAGGCATAAGAAGGTTTCTTTGGAGAAGAGCATTAATCAGGGCTTGGTTTTGCTCGGCCAAGCGATTAATGTTGTTGGTGAGCTCGGTGAAATATGGTGGTAGGTTATTTGGATTGGGGGGGTCGGCTTGATGATCGGGAACATTGGGGTGAGAAGCCATGGATCTAGTCGTGACCATACACCTTGGTATGTGGTAGGAAAGGGGTTATTGGGGAAGGGCTTCTGGCGACAATGAGCACAATTGGTGCGTGAAGTAAGAGATTCCCACAGACGGTGCCAACTAATGATGGTACAAGAGACTTGGACGGCTCAGACTGATCTACGCTTTTTCAACCGGTATCCGAGTGATCAAGCCCACCAGAGAACCTGCACAAGAGTTCAACAGGGAACGGGGAGTCCCCCAGCGAACCCTCTGACAAGCAAGTTAGAAAAAGAAGTGGATTGTAGAGATAGATTAGAGATAGAAAAGCTTAACCTTCTTCTTGTCTTCAATGTCTGCTTATATCCTCTAGTAATCATTTCGTTGTCCCTTCCAACCTGTCACCTTGGCCGAAAGTCTATGCTGTAGCTTCCCTTGTTTAGGGTGAGGGCGTGCCGTCCCGACGGAGAGGGGTTATCGCAATAAATACTGTAAGGGGGCCTCATTAATGGCGATGTGCCATGGCAATAACTTTGCAGATCTTTGTCTGCTGATGTGGCTTGCCATTCTCTTGCCATGTGTCTTGATGTCATTGGTTCTTATTGCTACATGGGGCTTCAACAGTGTTGGGCTCTAGTATTTGGGATATGTATTGGGCCCTAAATGGTGGGCTATAACCTTTATGGGCCTACCCATGTCAGAATTGCTTGTCTCATTTGTAAGGTTTTTTTATTTTTATTTTTATTTTATTTTATTTTATTTTATTTTATTAATATATGATATTACAATGAAACTCAATCAATTATAATTATAATGAAAACAAATTTAACACATAATTATATAAAGAAACCTGTAAAGTGAGAGATAGAAATCCCAAATAAATATACGGAAAATAAGACTCATATATAGGTGAGAAAATTCAAACTACTAATTTTCGAGTCAAATACAAAGTTTCGACCAACAAGCTTGTCTATTGATAAGTTAAGTCCTAAAAATTTGTACAAGATTAGTGTGAATGTGACATATCCACTAGAACCACTTGTATTGTTGCCCACTACAACCACTTGTATTCTTGTTGACAATAATTTTATTTCCTTTCATGGCATGTGTAGTGAAGTATATGATTGATATTGTGATTTTAGTATTTATGAAAAGGGCTAGCAATGTAATATTGGTAATATCATAAAATAAACTTAATAGGATTTAAATTCTCAATAAATTCAAAGTAAGTTGTAGTTACAGTTGCATAAAGCATCTCATACTAAACCAGTTTAGCTCATAACAAAAACAGTTAGTAGAAAAAAATTATAACTTCTCTGTTGTGAAGGCTTATTCTAGAAATTGTCATCACATAATGCATGTGTATTTTATTTTTATTTTTTTAATGCGTCTGATTTGCAGAAGTTTTATAAAGACAATTGAAATTACAATGTGTGTGAGTTAATTATAATAGGTACATTGATTTCATATATTTAGTCTTTTGTTATTGGGTAGGATTAATTTCTCTTATGTTTTTTCTTAAAAAAAAATACAGTTGTGTTTACACCAAATTAAGTATATTATGTATTATGTGTGTATATATATATACATATATATTATCATATATAACAAAGGAAAATGATCTTCTATGCATCGAGAATGTTAGGGACCAAAAATCATATAATGAAGAAGAAGAAGAAGAAGAAGAAGAAGTCAATGTGTAGATACATTTTAATTATTGATCTCGTTATATAAAAGTTAAATTTGAATCACAAACTAACTTTGAATATTTTTCGATTTGAATTCTTGATCCCTAACTTTACTAAAAATTAGAAAGTTAAAGCCATTAACTCACACAGCTAGAACTTGTGAATAAAACCTTTCACACACCTAGCAGGGTTAGTCTTGGGCTAAGGCCACTAAGGCTTGTGCTTTAGGACATAAAATTTAGCCCAAAAAAAGGGTTCATAAATTCATTAGTAGAATATTCAAAATTTCAATGGGATTTTTGGTGAAACCCTCTTTTTGGGCCTTTTTACTATGGTAAAGGATAACCCAATCAATTTTCTTTCAAAAAGCCCCTGAGTAGGAAATGCCTACCTTAATAAGGATATTTTATAATTTCTATTTTTTTTATGGCAATATTGCCTTTCTATATATACGTATCATATATTTGAAATATTTGAAATCTGAGCTGTATACGATCTATTACAATTTGTGAAATCAGGAACGAAATCGATGAAGACGATCTCCAAATTTGAAGATTTTGCAGCTGAAGATCTCTCACTTGGTCAATAATAGACGATCTCGCCGCCGACGATCAACACTCTTAATTAAACGAGAGTTTCATTGAGATTTGTGACTGTTGATCAAGTTTTAGAGGTTTTTCTTCTCAATTAGGTATGTTGATTATTTTTTGTTTTTGTTTTTGTTTGTTTGTTTGTTTGTTTTTTTTTTTTTTTTTGATTTATTTTTGTTGTGTTTGACCTGATTTCGTATGACAGAATTAGAGTAAAATTTTACTCTCGTTCTATTGCTCTGTTTTTTGTTCGAGAGAATGAAAGTAAAATTTTACTCTGGTTCTATTGCTCTGTTTTTTTGTTAGAGAGAATTACAGTAAAATTTTACTTTGGTATGTGCTCCGTTTAGAATGAGAGGAAAATTTTACTCTGGTGTTAGTTTTACTGTCAAGAGGTGGTCATTGCCAAACACTTCAGCCGCCACAAACACTGCCTCCGCTAACGTTGATCATGTTTGTTGCAACTTTTGCTTAGGTAAAAATAACTTAGATAAGCAAAACTTTTGATTATTGAGAAGATAGGGGAGATATGTTCTTTTAACTTATGCGTTTTAGTTATCAATTTTTAACTAGCAAAAAATTGCACCAAACAAGTTCATTGTCTGCAAAGAATACCATTTTTATGTGTTTTTGTAGGTTTATATATATGTATATTTATACACAAGTTATTAATAATTCATGATCACGGTTTGTGTTAGAATTGGGTGGGCATGAACTATTTTTAGACCCAGAAAACTTTATAAAGACTCATCCATTAGTCCCAAAGAAGTCATATTCTAAGATGTTCAAAGAAGCCAAACTGAAAGCTTTGACAGAGATGACCATATGAAGAATGGATATTAGATCAAAATAATCTTGACTTTTGGACTTGTAGTGACAGTAAAATTTTACTTTGATAGTGATAGTAAAATTTTACTTTGATAGTGACAGTAAAATTTTACTTTGATTGACAGTAAATTTTTACTGTTAATTTATTGTAGAATTGTAAAATAGTTTCACCTCTTATGTTGTTATGCAAGTATGGTGATTGTACCATTGTGTTCAAGGTTGTGTCAAACTGCACGTTGAAGGATTTAACTGAATTTTTAAGTTGTAAATTGAAGAAGTTTGACAGTAGTGGTTGCATACTGTTATCGTACTGTTTACCTGGACATTCGCAATGCATGATTGATGATGATTCTGATTTTCAGAATATGTTGTCGCTTGTTTATCCCTTTGGTGTTGACCGGGTTGATGTGACTATTACTGAAATGAGCATTTCAAATGAAAAACATGGAGTTAGAGAATCAGGAGACGCTAGTGGATCCAACATTACTGATGATAAAATGGATTTACTCCCTATGTTTTGTCAACATGAAAAAAGAACTTTGTTGTCTTGTGGATGGATGAATGGAATTACTCATGTAGGTCAAAGATTTATTGGAGGTGCAAAGGATTTCCGGACTGCATTATGTAAATATGCCATTGAGATAGGATTTGAGTTTGTGTATGTGAAGAATGAGAAGTGTCGGGTCACTGCTGTGTGTTCAATGCAGGAGTCCAAAGCTTGTTTATGTCGAGTACATGCATCTCTAGAAAGTGCTAATAATTTTTTCTACATTAGGACTCTACATGATGAGCATACTTGTGGAGTTGCAGTTCGTACTTCTAAAAACTCAAGAATGAGTTCAAATTTGGTTGTAAGTTTGATTGTTAATGAAGTTCGTGGGAATTCCAAACTCGTCCAATTAATGTTGTGCGTCAATTTACAGATCAATACGGGCTCACCATTACTACAATCACGCTTGGTTGGGAGTTGAGAAAGCTAGGACTATTACTTTTGGAGATTTTCTCTATGTCTTATGATCAGATTTGATGGTATATGGATATTGTGATGAGCACAAATCCTGGTAGTTATTTGCATCTTCACTATAACCATCAAAGTGGACGGTTCAAGAGGTTTTTTGTTGTATTTAATGCTTTCATTCAAGGGTTTAGGCATTGCCGTCCTCTATTGTTTATCGATGGAACTTTTCTGAAGGGGAAATATAAGGGCACCTTGTTAACAGCTACAACGAAGGATGTGGATCAAGGTAGATATTACTATAGTTTATTCGAAAGTAATAAGTTACTTATTCTCAGAGTAAGATGTTGCTTATTTTCAGAGTAACATGTTACTATTATTCAAAGTAAAAATCTACTATATTTGTCCTTTTCATTTAATATACTTACTAATTGTAAAATGTTATTTTTCAGGTTTTTTCCCTCTTACAATGGAAATTGTCGATACGGAGAGTACAGACAGTTGGAAATGGTTTTTAATGCATTTGTCGAATATATTATTGGATGAAAGACTAATTACCTTCATATCTGATCGGAGCACTGGACTATTGGAGGCTTTACCCAAGGTTTTACCTACTGCTTACCAATATTTTTGTCTCCAACACTTGAAAGCCAATTTGAGGGATAGGTTCTCTGGTCCAAGTTTAAACAGTACTTTTAGGAGTATAATAGTTTTTTTTTTTTGTTTTCTTCATGTGCTTATGCTCCGATAGTGGGATGTTTTAATCAGTATTTGAAAGAATTACAAGATCAGGGAAAAGGGATTATTGTAGGTTTCTATCCAATTTGCCCTATGACAAGTGGACTAATGCATATTTTAAAGGACAAAAATACGGTGAAATGCACTTGAATGTGGTAGAGTCTTTCAATTCATGGATCCGTCAAGCTCATCATTTACCCACTACGAAGATGATTGATTCAATTAGGTTGAAGATCATGGATTTGATGTCGAGAAGGAGAGAACAAGCTAAGAAATGGAATACTTTTCTTTGTCCGGAGATGGATTCAACATTAGTAAATGCTCTTAAAAGTGGAAGAACTTGGTTGGTTAGTCGTTCAAGTGATCATGTTTTTGAGGTTCAATCCTGGCCATCGGTTAGCGTTGACCTCTTGAATAGAACTTGTTCATGTTACCAATGGCAATTGAATGGATTTATTTGTGCTTACGTGACGACCGCTATCCAAAAGAGCGGAGGTGATTTGTATGCACATGTGGAACCATTTTATTACACTATCAAGTTCAAAGCTTGTTATGCTGAGTCCGATTATCCAATGCCCACTGTTGAGAAACCTCTTGCAGCTATGGATGATCTTGTTATCCTTCCTCCAATTTGTAAGAAGCCACCTGGTAGGCCAAGGAAGAGTAGGATTCCATCTAAGGGTGAGAAGATAAGACGAGTACAATGTGGTAGATGCGAGAAGTACGGTCATAATAGCAAGACTTGCAAGGAGACATTGCCGTGAAAGACATTATTGATTTTGTAATAGAAGTATGGAAATAATGCAGTTTTTCTGTAATAAATAGTCCATAGCAATAATAGTATAGTCTTTTAGACTAGATTTGTAAAGAGACATTGCAATAAAAGACATTTTTACTATATTCTTGAATGATTGTTTGTTCAAGTTCTGATTTGCTTTGTGGTTGAGTTTGACATTTTAATATATTTTTTTAATGTGGTTGAATAAGTTTCATGTAAATGAACTTATAATGAAGTTTGTTCAAATGTATATGCTCAGCCTGTGCTTTCAAAGTAAAAATTTTCGATATTTCAGAGTAAACTTTAACTTTATTGCAGAGTAAAATTTTACTTTTTCGAGAGTAAAACATTGTCTTCATTCACATGAAAGTAAAACTTTACTGCCTTTCAAAGTAAAAATTTACTATATTGATGAATGGTTGTCTATGGGTGTGATGAGCATGTGGTTTCACAGTAAAATTTTACCTTATTTCAGAGTAAAATATTAGTTTTCGATTAAAATTTTACCTTATTTCAGAGAAAAATTTTATTTTTATAGAGGGTAAAATTTTAGTTTTATGTAGAGTAACATTTTACTTCTAAATTCAGAGTCTAAGATTTTGCTCTTATTTCAGAGTAAAATTTTACTTTTAGATTCAGAGTATAACATTTTACTTTTATTTCAGAGTAAAATTTTACTTTTATACAGAGTAAAATTTTACTTTTAGATTCAGGGTGTAACATTTTACTCTTAAATTCAAAGTGTAACATTTTATTTTTATTTCAGAGTAAAATTTTAGTTTTAGATTCAGAGTGTAACATTTTACTCTTATTTCAGAGTAAAATTTTGCTTTTATGCAGAGTAAAATTTTACTTTTAGATTCCGAGTGTAACAATTTACTCATATTTCAGAGTAAAGTAAAATTTTATTTTTATGTAGAATAAAATTTTACTTTATTTCAGACAGTATGTTAGCCCTTAGAAAAACATTTCCAACCTACACGAAAATTTACCACAATACACAAACTCTCCTGATGATCATCATGCAAGCTTTGTGCAAAAATAATTTAACAACACAACTACATATATCATCAAAGATACACAAGTATAACATGTATCATTGTATTCTATCCATAACAACGTTCATTCCCAGTCAAAACAGTAGCCTGCTATAATAATGTATTAATCACCAAATCACAGTAACATTTACTAGAACAATAGACATAACATGTACTATCTAATACTCTTTTAGTATTCTTTCACTTACAATTACTTTTTCACCATTCTTTCATTTACAAAAATCGAAATTACATATATTATTCACAGTAGTTCCCCAAAAGTTGTCCACATTGTCATCCTTGAGGTCTTAGCTCTTGCCCTTTTTTTTTTTTTTTTTGAGGTTGAATTGTTCCTCAGTCCATGCTTTTGGATAATCATTCAAAAATTGATGCACTATTGACGCACTATTGACGCTTGGAAATTGTTAATTTTATCATCTTCCATAGAATTTGCAATAGGCTCATCTCTTATGATTTGGCGCATGATATAACATACAATAATTCCGTAATCAACACTGTTAATAAAAATCAAGATCTTGTTAGATTTAGTCAAATTTGAAAACTACCAATTCAAGCATGTAGTAGTAGCGTGAAATACTTACGATATTGGGCGTTGTTGTGGACTATCTTTCACTGAAACCAAGTTTGCAAACTTTCTTCTACCTTTCTTCGTTTTGTTGGCCAACTTGTTCTCCACGTATGTTATCTTACATTATTGCATAATTGTTTGGTCACAATTAAATACAAGAATAAAACACAGTAAAAAATTATTTTTAATATGATGCAAAGCACTTATAATCTTTTTTGCATCGTTAAGGTAAGGATCTTCTCTGTTGTCACTCGGCCTTAAAGAATTATAATGTCTCCACTCATCAAATTCAGTGTCAAATACAAGAAGTGTCCAGTGGTAGGGTTTTTCTTCCTTCTTGTTCCCATTGGAGTTCATGCAAAAGTGAAGGTATCTGTATCCACTCAAATCTTGTTCAAGCACTTCGTCAATTAAATGATTTCTCAAATCTCCATAACCCCATTTCACTAGTGATTGCATTTAATTATATAAGAGTGTCATGTCTCAAGTTGTATTGGTGACACACTGTATGAGTTGTCAATCTTTGGCAAACCAAATAGTAAGAATTTCTAAAATACAGTACAATGTTACACTAAACCACAGTAAAATTTTATCAATTCAAACTAAACACAAATTGATGGCTTACCCAACAAAGGCTTGAGAAAAAGAATGACTTATTCTTTTCTGGCTTCTTTGCTTGTTGCTCAATCTGCAGCATTTCTACAAAGCTGTCAATGACCTACAAAAACAAAAATTAATTAAATATATGTTAATAAAATGAACTATTTTTAGTTATTGAAGTGAACACTAGTCATTGAAAATTGTATGGCCACTTACATTATTTGCAATATCACCATCTCTCAAAATTGTATCCACATCATGCAATGTAACATATACTCCATTTCCTGTGCCGAACCATATGATTGCACTAGTCATCAGGGGGAAAAAAATGTTGATTAACACATTGCAGTTTGATAACAATAAAAATATGTTGTTTGATAAAATTAAAATGGTCTTACTCTGTGGTTTCCAAATTGTAAATCTTACTCAATAGACACTTATCATTCTCATCAAGAAATTTGCATATTGCAGCCTTATCTGGAAACAAAACCCTTTCAACTAGCTTTGGTTGGCTTAGAGGCAAGTTGTCAACACAAATCACTTCATTTGATATCACTTCAATTGCTTATTTTGTGGTCTTTTTTTTCTTTGCCTCTCTTAGCTCACATTCAAAATCAGACATCTCTTTTTTCTTCCTCGCCTTGATTTTGATTTTCTTGACCATGGATGTTTGTAATGGCTCTATGACTATACGTGTTTCTTTCAATCTAGTTTGAATCCTAAAGTTTTGCTCTTGTTCTACTCCTTTAGCATGTCGCATTTCTTTAGAAGCAAAAGCTTGGGTAGCCGCATGAACCGCATTTTCTTCAATCTGTTCAACCAACTGTTTATTTTCAGATTCGAGTACTTCAAACTCGTTTCTCAGTTTCTCCATTTTTTTCTTTGTGTTGCTTATCTTTTCCATCATTTCTTTTCTTTTTACCTCTTGATCCTCTTGCATTTTTTACATTATTTCCCTCATTTTCTTCAGTTCTTCAACCAATGCCATATTCTCACTTTTCAGCCTCTTGTTTTCTTTTTGAACTCATTCTAATTTCCCAAGATCAATGAAGTCCTTCAAATGTTGATCATCTTCTAAAGCTTCAGCTACACGATCTTCATCTTCTTTAGTCTCCAAATTTTCCTCTATGTCCAATGCATCTTCTTCCTTATCATTGCGAATGAGTTCCATTTCTTCTCTGGAAATGGGCTTCAGTTCATCGTGATTCACCTGCATTTGAAAAATAGAAAAAGAAAAGAAGTCAGCAATGAAGCAAACTTTAACCACAAGAGTAAAATTTTACTCTGTTTCAAAGTAAAAGTTTACTCTGGCTGTAAGTAAACTTTTACTCTAATTTTAAGTAAACTTTTACTCTGTTCAAGAGTAAGTAAAATTTTACTCTAATTGTAAGTAAAATTTTACTCTAATTGTAAGTAAAAGTTTACTCTAATTGTAAGTAAACTTTTATTCTGATTTAAAGTAAACTTTTACTCTGTTCAAGAGTAAGTAAAATTTTACTTTGTTTCAAAGTAAAATTTTACTCTGATTTTAAGTAAATTTTTACTCTGTTCAAGAGTAAGTAAAATTTTACTCTGTTTCAAAGTAAAAGTTTACTCTGATTTTAAGTAAACTTTTACTCTGTTCAAGAGTAAGTAAAAGTTTACTCTGTTTCAAAGTAAAATTTTACTCTGATTGTAAGTAAAAGTTTACTCTGATTGTAAGTAAACTTCTACTCTGGTTTAAAGTAAACTTTTACTCTGTTTCAAAGTAAAAGTTTACCCTAATTGTAAGTAAACTTTTACTCTAATTTTAAGTAAACTTTTACTCTGTTCAAGAGTAAGATTTTATTATGTAAGTATAATTTTAAGCAAAATGAACCAG